TAAAGTAATAAGCATCAATAGAAACTGACCATCCACATAAGGTTCTGAACAGTAAATCGCTGAGAACGATCTACTTTTGTTAGAAGTCGATCGTTCAGTGGCGTTTTGAAAACGATAAACCGCGTGCGCGGTATCACATTTCCAAGAGGAGAGTACCTCGTCCATCTAAATACGATTTGCATTATCACAACAAAAAGTAAGACTACGCATCACACCAATTTTCAATAAAACGCGTCTCGATGCTCGGTATCGACGTGTGTTGAGGTGAAACTGAGCAGTTCTAACCGCCACAAGTGTACACCATTTGTTTGCAAAAACCCATATATAAACACAAAGAACGTCAGTAAGCTCTGGCAAATGACCAAGAACAAATGCATTAAAGCATTTGATCATAAAAAGTAAAATTCATGATTTGATAAAAATTTCAGGGAAAAAAGAAGACATGTGGTGATGTGAATAAAACTAAATTGAAACATTAAGTAATATAAACGAAAAGGGAAACTTCCTCACTCTTTTGGCACCACTCTGCATACGCGGACCATAATTTCGAGATACGAAATTGATGAGTGCGTGAGAGAGGTAATTGGTGGAAAAAAATCGCGTATGAGAGTGGCGACGAGAGGCTGCTTGCTCTCGTTGGCTCTCGGGCTCGTTGTGTGCGCTCGTTCCGGATCACACCCGTTTCCGGAAGAAGAAGGAGAACAGGCAACGTCAACGTCCACACGAAGTCACCACCACACACTGCGGAAAGAAGTGCGGGCACTGCTGTCCTTGGCCCTGAACGTATCGATCGCTGATGAGACGCGTTGGCTGTGTGCCAGACACGGCTTCGCGCTAGGACCAGCTGGTTGCTCAGGCGTGCACTTTTAATACAGAAATCACTAAATATGCGACTGTACTGAGCTATAGCTTGCTGAAAACGGTCGCGTTTTTTCCTTCACATAGGCCTTGGCCGGGTTGCTGGAGGGTTTTGTCTATCACGCGCAAGGACATCATCTGTTCGCGCTACCAAGCCCTCCATCTGTTCGGCTAGGTGGACCGCTATAACAGCTTTCTGTGAAGATAAAAGCACTCAATCGAACATTGTGTGGCTTCTACAAGTCAAGTTAGGTTAGCGGGCCCATTCCCATAGTTTACGATTAAATAGCATCTTCGACTATTAACCCCCTTATTTAAGGTCCACTGAAAAATTTTCTAGGCAGTCCCTTTAGTTTGTTAGCAATAGAGCATGCTCATAGGCTGATATCGGTCACTCAGCTGCTCCATCGCTGATAAACCGCTCGCGTGAATCAATGTCGACGTCACAAATGCGTCCCATTGGCACCGCAACGCATTTCTACTAATGAGGGCAACGTTTGCAGTAAAATCCTGCTGAGAACGATTTAGACTCAAGAAAATTTGAGAACATTTGGTAGTAAACTGAATGTGGGATAAAATCAGTTGAAATATGATGGTACGCAATAGCGACATGTCAATTACTTGTGGACGCATAGGGAAGGGAGGGGGGGAAGTGGGGAGGTTGGTGGTGGGGTATGTACGCGGAAAGCGGCAACCTTAAATGTGCCTACAGTTTTTTAGCGCTTCCACTTGCTTTTTTAGCGTTCCTTTTTAGTCCATAAGCCGAATCTTCCCTTGATACTATAGTAAAAGTGCTAAAAAATTTGGCAGATGAGGTAATTACGAACGAGCATTTTTCGTACTTCGACGCCTTCCACCCTACAATGTATTTGATTGTAAAGAGGTGACTCCTTTGATCGGTCGGTATAATTAGCACAATCGAATTGAATATTGTAAATGTTGGTGACATCCGCTGTCTGCCATTCTTGAGCGGAAACTGCCATTCTTTACAAAGCCTTTGGCTACTGAAAATACGTGTTCAGCATTCAGAAGAAGAAAAGGTAAAGCATCTCTCAGCCGAAACAGCGATTCTGACTCCTACAGTAAATTTGTCATGGCTAGTGTGCCCTTAGCGTGCGAATTTGATTTTTGCGGCTAGGATATCAAATTTCCCTCTGTGCAAATTCTTAGAAAATTCGGAATTTTGAGCTGTTAGCACACTTAGAGCGAATTGTAAGGAAAGTTGTTATTGGGGAAAAAAAGTAAATCCGAGAGTCGAGTCGAAAGAATTAGAATAAATGGTCTACATGTGAAGTCGAGTACACAGGGTTTCCTACCAATTCTCAACATGCTCCAGTGCTAATAAACCGCTCACATGAAGCGACTGCCCGGAAACGTTCCTGTACTAAACCGTACCTCATTTCAGCTTTAGCTCTAACAAATTGAATCTAAATTGTACTAGTAAAACTTTGAAGGTCAGTACAGAATTATATAACTAATATGATTCTGTACCGTCAACTATAAACACTACTGCCCTAGTTGAAGAAAGATTTCTCTGTACAACACCATCTATAGATCTATTGAAAATAAATAAATAATATCCTTGACCGATTTAGCGGCAGCATAGCTGACATTTTCCAATCTGCTATATTTCTAATAAAGGACAACCATAGAAATGAGTTGCAGAATGTCCTGAGTTTATGGGATATGAGATATTGGTTGCTGGGAAATGTGTGATAAAGATGTTAGGATTGGAAATTCAGCTCAATGTCATTTTATCAGGCATTTGCCTGTTTAAAAATCTGAATTTTGGTTTTTTCGGGAATCCCGGCCATTCAAGCCCATAATAAATCTCGTTTGAAGGAAATTGCCTTAAAAATCTGCTTAATTCTAAGACATAGCTTTGAATTCGTTGGCAATGGTTCTAAGTTCTTTCCTCAGCAGTGGCATAAGAGAATTATGAGCTATGTTGGAGAACTGACAAACTTTGTGCAAAAGTAACACTCATCTAAAAATCGAAGGGCATTCCCACTGCATCACGTGCACATTTCGCTTTTTCTGAATGTAGTTGACGTCTTGATGGTGTAGTGGATGTATTACGTACCGCACTTAAATGCCGTACTAAATCACATTCTGAAATACTTCAGAACATATTCTAGGTGGTGTACGAGTTAGTATTCCGTTGTTCGATGCACTGACGTGAGCATTTTCCTCTTTTGTCCGACCTGATTTTCATGACATTCGAATAGATGCTTTCAAAACCCGAAACGACTGTTTTTGTAATCAATTTATTTCAGAAGATTTTGGATGCACTCAACAAATCACGGCGATACCGGTCTTGAAGTGAAGTCGAATTCGTCGTCTGCTGAAACTGCTGTCACTTCAAAGAAGTCCACATTTGTACTGCAGAAGGGTGCTCAAAAGCGTTCGCTTTCGGTTTTTTCGCCTATACAGACTGTAGCAGTACGTTTTATTTATTTTGAAAAAAAAATCAAAGTAGGAAGTGGTGCAAGAACAATATGCTGTCTGTGAGGAATACATGTTGTACAAATATTCGCGGAAGAATTGGTTTCGTTGGTTTCTAGCAAAATTTCGTGAGAAGATTCGATCAGATGTGGACGATCTCCTCGTCTATATCTAATATCAAGCTATAGTGCTGGCTCTCTTTTCTCTTTTTCTGAAATACTCGCCTGTAAATTATCTTTTTAAATAATTTTTCATCACGTTAAAAAGTCGCCCGAGTTCGGCATAAAGACGGATTTCATTTAATCATAGTTTTCTGTACCATACAGTCTGCTCCTCTGACCGGCAAAGTTGTTTTTTTGCAGCAGCACAAACATTATCTTGCCTGCTTACCGAAAGCTGACTAGTTCTCTTCTTTTGTTTTCAACATTTCGAAAAAATGCACCGTAAATTATCACCGAAACGAAGAAAATCAAGTAAAGCCAAAATTAAAGAGTTCTAAAGGCGGTGCTGCATGATGCGCATGTTTGCGCTTCTGAAGGTGGGCTCGAAATAGTCGCCGCTTTCCTCCATTTCGTTTGTGTTTTAAATATGTATAGATTTTCCGCTGTTGGTTAATGACGAGAAATTAATACATATTTGAAGCATGGACAATACGGGCGGAAAATGCGACTATCGTAGTAGTACAGCCGGGCTCTAAGAGCAAACGGGCGCTGCGGGTAGCCGACTATCTGTATCCACATTGAGTACATCAGATAGGAATTCGCTGCAAACCTCTTTCTCGACTCCTGCGATAAATGCATTTAATGAAAGGAGATAAAGCTGACTA